TACCAGGAAATATTAAGGGACATTGTGCCATCTATTCCTGTTTACAGTTTATTATGCAGAGATAGGAAACACTTAGCATGTAAAATGAATGTAGAAATTATTCCTGGATAGAAACACGGACATTTCCCACTCGTTGGCTCTTTCTCCTCCATCACCGGATCAGAGTGTAATTGTCAGTAATCAGGCCTGCTTGCTGCTGATAAAACCACTCTGAATGCTAGCAGCCTTCTTTGTGTGATGACTCAATTATTCCAGAAGTGCCTCATCAAATCTGCCCCATCAGCTGGGCTAATAAATAAGGAGAAGAAACTGGCCCCCCAAAGCAAATTATAAATCCATTTGCATTAACCATTTCGCTGGTCCATGATCTAGGCAGAAATAAGCATGGCAGATTGTGTTAAGCTTATTTGAATATGTTTATAATGTTTACAGCATGCAACCTTTTTTTTTTTTCTTTCTTTTTTTTTTTTCACAAGGTGTTGGAATTATCGGTCATGAATAGCATCTAAATGCAGTTATGTTAATTACAGCAAAGCCTCAGGCATCTTTGAGGGATAGTTTGTTGCTTAAATCAGGTGAAAGTTAAACCCTTCTGCTAGGCAAAATGTGATCTTGCACATGGCGTTGGAATTACTGCCATGTGTAAAAGAGAGGATGAGTGCAAGGGACGTGTCTTTACAGGTACTGGAAGGACAACTGCCTGTGTTACAAGGCTGTCTTGTACTGGTAACATGACCTCCTGCTCATCTCAGGGTAGAACTAAGTAAGATAAAGTTTAGCCTTGTAGTTGGGAAAGAAAATGCAATCGTCGAAGCAACAATAATTCTGTTTCCTGTGTACTCTGCATTTAACAAAACAAGTGTAAAGAGGGGTACTCTGCCCCAAGGAAATTCCTTTCTGAAGCTGAAATGCTATAAAAATGCTGTTTCCAAGTAGACTCCTTCAGATTTCCAAGACTGCCCATGTGTACTGCAGTGAGGGTGTTGAAGTGATGCGTCGGAAGGTCAAATGAAACTAATTTGTTTACTCATGTGCTGAACATTACACATGTGCTTAAGGGTCTCACTGAGGTGACCCATACATTTGTGCAGAACTTAATGTGTAAAGTTATGTACTTCATCCTATGCACGATAAAGATCTGACTGCAGTCAAGAGCTCAATATATCTTAACTCTCTTGTAATGGCATCTTTTGCTTTCACATATTTTTTTCTCAAATACTAAATATGTTGCAGTATTTTATATTGAGAAAGATAAATCACTGTCACTGTAGAAACACGAAAAATGTTCAAGGATCATAATGGTGAGCACATTAGATTTTGTTTCCTTAGCTGTTACTTCCATTCTGAGTTACCGAATCACAAACTGTTGTGATCATTCATTTTCATATTTGCAGTATATCAACTAGTGATGTCGTAAATGAGAGAAAATCAAATTCATCTGTTGGAAATTATATCCATTATGCTCAAAAAAAAGTTCTTAGAGGTCTTTTACAGATGTAGTACTGTCTTGTGTAGTGCAATTCTGACAGAGAAAACAACCTGAGACTTCTGGTGAGATAATTTTTAACGGTAGAATATGTGTTTTCTCACTGTTAATCCTGAGGAACTCTTTCGTAATCTGACGTGAATTAATGGACTTTTATCCATAGACAATGGGTCAACAAGAATGATTTCTTGAACGGAATTGTCACACGCATCTGATGTTGAGGATCAGGGCCCAAACGGTGATTCACATCAGTATCCCGGTATGACTCAAGGATCTCAGTAGGATGGCACTTCAGAGTCAGTACAAAATCATGTTGCACTGGAAATGGCTATAAACCAAAGAATGAATTGCAAAGGTTCCAGGTGACTTCACTGAACCATTACACTGACAAATCAAGCAACTCATTTATTCCATCTTTGTGGGTTTATAAAGTTTATTATTCTAGTTGAATTGAGATGCTGGATGAAAAGGGTGGAGGTTTTCTTTGTAAGCAGGTAAACTTCACCTTCAGGATTAAAAAAATTCTGTTCAGACATATAGGGAGAAGTGTAGGCATAATTTGCTGTCTGTAAATTCTTTTGAATTCTTTGCTAAAACAGATAAGTGAGTTAATCTATGCTATGAATAGATTGGGCCAAATGGAGACACACAGGGACTTGAGGGGAATGATCCCACCAAAGAGCCTTGGAATAAGTTAGTTCTACCTGATTTCAATCAACAACGATCTTATCATCAAAGTCTCCAATAAATTAGATAGATGTTCTTTATGGGCTCTTGAGGTTGAGATCTTAATTCTTCTGGATGGCATTGCAGGTTTTATCTGCACTTCTTGCAAGGCCTCAAAATTTGGCCCATGGTTAATTTTATAATTCATAAAATATACTAAAATAAAGTTTTTCTCAATAACTTATTACACAAGATCTTGATGTTACTGTGAAATCAGCAGTAACTCTTGTTTGCTTCCTGAAGTATCAGATCCCAGCACTTATATTGTAAATATAAGTTGCTTCTTGGAGTGCGGACAGGGGTGACACATAGTTTATATTCCATTAAGGGTATGTCACATCCCATGACACAGCATAATCCTACACACCCTGTTTATAACATGACAGATGCATGACATTGTATTGGACTTCTTATGAAACACCATTATCTTCAAATGTGGGTACTCACCCACGAATCAGCTGTATGGCAGCCAGCACCCTGTTATGTGAAAGAAATAGGAAAATAGCACATTTAAACTTATTAACCAATAACTTCTGTTGTAATTAAACACAGGAGAGGGGTTTAGGCTTTGTGCTTTATATAAAAGTCTTGCTTTTGTCCTACTGTAGCACCCTCTGCTTTACAAAGATAGCTGATGATGTCGCACACAAGGCAGATGGGAGCAAACTAGCAAATGGCACTGTTGCATGGAGTTTTCCAGTACAATTTTAAACCCACCCCACCTCAGCCCTGACCCAGCCCAGACTCCTTTTCTTAAAAGGAGGATTTTCAATGTATTAACTTATTATGTAAAGTTAAATGTGAAAAGTTCTGTATATTTTCCTCTCCTTTGTGCACTTTTCCAAGTGGATCTCAGCTGTGCTGTCTTAACTCTCGGTCCCCGAGGATGAGAGAGACAGCAGATGGGGTTAGGGCAGAGGGCTGATGCTTCTGACAGCAAACGGCCTGGTTGTTGAGTGGAAGCTGTGAGCGTCAGGAAGCTCCTTTTCCCCAGAGAACCAACTAACCACTGAAGAAAGTTGAAAATGAGCCCTTTGAGAAACGCTATTAAAAGTAGTAAAAAATTGCAATTGTGCAGATGATGTGCTGCTGTGTGGTTATTCGGATGCTAATGAGTTTGACATTAGGGAACTCAAAGGGTTTACAGCTACTCCCTTATGTGATTTTGTTCTTTATTGGCAATCTTTGAGAAAATAAATGAAAAATATATTGCTAATAAATACATAACATGATAGGATTTTAGGCAAAAAGCTGCTAAGTTTTAGGCTTTAGAAAGGCTCACCATTGTAGCTATTCTCAGGGGTCTTTTGTTTTAGGTTAGTGTGTTTTGAACAAAGAGGAAGAGGTAGGTAGAAAGCTTTAAGACTCCTTTTGGTTTTTTCCATGGGTGTTCAAACAGAATAATGGGGAAAGAGACCTTTGAGGATAAACAACGTCTTTTTCCAGCAACATATTGGCTAGAAAAATGCTTAAAAAAATCTTTTCGGTATTGGGCTGGTTTGTTATGGGTTTTCTCCCTACTTTATCATCTTACCTCTGTTGTCTGTTTTGCTATTTGATAAAAGCTTATTTATTTTAATTAAAAGTTGTAGATGGGATGCAACTAATATTCTATCTATTGGGACTCAAGCAGAAATTAGTCACTCAATAAACTCTAGCTTCCCTGAGAATCTGTTTACAGTAAGTCTTTTCAATTTCAGAAATGTAATATTACAAATTTTACTGACAAAACTTCATCAAATATCATTAAATGGATAAAGTTTCACCTTCAAGTTTCAAAAGTTTATCTGCAAACTTAGTCATAAGTGGAATATGTTCAATGAATAGATCTATTTTACTTAATACACGGGACACTATTTGAAAAGGACCTCTGAAGTTGCAAGTGATAGGAAAATTTTTGCATTTTGGTCACTAGTGGCAGGAGTGATGCTAAAATAAAGCCTTGCCATAATAACTGCTCACAGCCAGATTTTCCCAGGTTGCAAGTGCCTACAACTTTAAGTGTTCAAATGGTTTGGGTATTCATTATTTCCAAATACAAGGCTCTCAGTACTGTACTCTCAGATATAAAGTTCTGCGGCTCTTCTTCCCTCGCTGTTACTGTTGATTTAGTGGGAGTTTCCTCAAAGAAAGGAATAAAAAATGAGCATATCTCTATGTCAAATGTCAAGGGTTCCCTTCAGTTTGTTTATGGTGAGAACACTATCAGTCTGCCAAACTTCAAACTGATATTCAAAAGAAGAAAAAAAGAAAACTGAAGGGTTTTCTGCTATTATTAAAATATTTTAGAATGCTTCTCATTTATTTCACATCATGAGCCATCCTGCTCAGCCAGAGGGGTTCTGATGCAGTGAAAAAAATTGACTAAGGATTTCTGCATATAGAAACTGTGGATTTTTGTCCATGCAAGAAGAAAAACTTTTCTTAGAGCAGGTCTATTTCGTAAGCTGTCAAAAAGGGCATTAACAATATAAAGAAAGTACCATAACAAAAGAAAAATTGCTGTTCTTTCTGCCTTTTGAAGCATCATTGATGCCTCTATACCACATCTTTGAAAAACTGCACAAGAAAAAAATGCACTTGGATTATTTGCCCATTTGATTTAAAGAGTGTCCTGTTTCATCTACTTTTTAGTTAGTACAGTTTTCTGTTTTCTTTTGGGATTTTTTTTTCGTCGGTGGGTTTTTTGTTTGTTTGTTTGTGGTTTTGTTTTGTGTTGGTGGTTTTTTTTGGTGTCCCCCCCCCCCCC